ACTGCTAATACTGCTACTGCTAATACTGCTACTGCTGCTACTGCTAAAACTGTTACTGCTAATACTGCTACTGCTGCTGCTAATGCTAATTTTAAACTACAGCTACTGCTAATTTTAAAACTACTGCTACTGCTAATTTTAAAACTAATGCTACTGCTAATGCTACTGCTACTTTTAAAACTACTGCTACTGCTGCTAATGCTAATTTTAAAACTACTGCTACTGCTGCTACTGCTAATGCTATTGCTACTGCTAATGCTGCTACTTCTAATACTGCTAATACTGCTACTGCTAATACTGTTACTGCTGTTGCTAATGCTAATTTTAAAACTACTGCTACTGCTAATGCTGTTGCTACTGCTAATGCTGCTACTTCTAATACTGCTACTGCTAATACTGCTAATGCTGCTACCGCTAATATTGCTACTGCTAATGCTGCTACTGCTAATACTTCTACTGCTACTGCTAATACTGCTAATGCTAATTCTAAAACTACTGCTAATACTGCTACTGCTGTTACTGCTAATGCTGCTACTGCTAATACTGCTAATGCTAATTCTAAAAACTACTGCTAATGTTGCTACTGCTAATACTGCTACTACTAATAATAATACTGCTAATGCTAATTCTAAAACTACTGCTACTGCCATTTCCTGTTGGGCCGGTCTGATAAGGGGCTGCAGGGCCGGTGCTCCCTGGGTTTTGTTTTTATATTTTAGAGCTTTTCATGAACAACATAGAAACATAGAACACCATTACCGCTGGACCAGAGCCGCCCCACCTCCACCCAGGGCTGGCTGCAGATTTTTTGTTTGTTTGTTTTTGTTTATTTTTGCACGAGTCGGATCTTCGATGCCACCTGTCAATCAATCCAGTGAGCATGTCAGCAACTGACCAATCAGCGACCTTAATTTGTCCCAAAGGTAAACACCCCCGTTGTCAGTGGGGAACATGTAATTGTTCATGCACATGTTACAGTGAGTGTTTAGAGAGTGGAATACAGTTTATTTCATTTCAGAAACTAAACAGAGCCGACCCTATGAGCAGCTGAATACAACATAAACAGGAAGTACCACATGTCAAACTTTACGAAGGTAACTGCAGGAAAAGCCTCCATTTTCTGTCATTACTTTGTACGCTTAATGGTTAAATTAAAGGTTAATGCTTAAAGCTAGCTGTGCTTTGTTTTGTGTGTTTTATATGTAGATATATGTTGTAACTTTTGATTGCATAAGTTTAGTATTTGTTAACACTAAACTGATTTTGTACAAAGTGTTTAATAGGTTGTGTAATGTAAAATTTACCCTCGTATTGAATTTCACTGTGAGTTCTTGTCCTGTCACTCTGCGGCATCAAAACATCCACTGCAGTAACTATTTTGTTACTGGTAGTTTTGATTTTTTTTTCTGTCTTCTTTGCCTTAATGTTGGTCGACAATGCAGAAATGCCTCAGGTAACGCTGTGAGCTTCACTACCTCCACCATTACAGCCATGCTGTTTGTCCGAGGTTAGCTCACCCTGGGTTATATTTCCTTGTGGGCGAAGCGATCTTACCGTTCACGTAAAATATTTGGTATTGTTCTTATAGAAACAATTCCTGAATGTTGTTCATACTGTACAACTGGGTAACGTGACCGTAGACCTAGCCCGTTACTGGAGTTTTTATTAGGTATTTTAATCTACTAATAAACACGATGGATGATGATCATATTGCTTTATGCTAGGCCATTAGTAAGAAGGAGTGATTATTATTATTTCATATTGGCTAGTGAATTTTTTCCCTAAAAGTTAACTTAGGCTACACAGTGTTTCTTAGACTGTGACTAGGATGTTGAGAGAAGTGGAGTGTGCTCTATTCACACAAGGAGAGCTGTTGGTCAGGCTAATCTTATTGTGCTATTAACTCTATAATAGTTATTGAATCAAGTGTTAATTGTGTAGGTAAAATTAAATGTTAAACAACCCATTAAAATACACCAGAGCACAAGAAATGGCATCTATTTTATTCCAAATTTTCTGGGGGAGAACCCCCGGACCCCCCCATCCATTGACTATGGTGACATTACTTAGACAAATGCTCCTGCCAGCTGCTTGCAGATGTTGGATTCTGTCTACCATGGCACGTAAAGATTCATAACTGGCTGTAACTACCATACCCATCACTGCACCCAGTATTCACTGGTCAGTTGGTCATCATTATCTACACGTAGGCTCTCACACTGGTTCGTTTTCATCTAGAACTCCCTCCTTGGTCTGCTATCTTCTTATAGCTCCTCCCACATGTCACTCCATCAGTGCAGTTACAGCGTGCGCTCTCACGTCATCGTTACCTGCAGCGTTCTGTCAGTGTGGACTGAACTTGACAAAAAGGCCTTTTCCTTCTCTGCTCCTGCACCTGGAACACCTGGCAACAAGAACTGAAGCTGCACGTCCACCTTAATTTCTTTAGGGGATTTTAAACATTTTATTGTCCATGAAATAAATCTAAGTAAATATGTTCTTGTTTTTAGTATTTTACTTGTTTTACAGCACCCTGATTTATTGTTTTATAATTTATTTTAATTTCAGTTTTACTGTAGTTTATTGTTATTATTGTTTATTGTTATCTGTATTTGATATGTTCTGTCTGGAACAGGTCTCTCGTGTATTTGAGTCCTCGTGGCTCAATGAGACTAACCTCTAGAACAGACCTGGGCATTGTACGGCCCCAGGGCCACATGCGGCCCTTTGGTTGACTCTGACCGGCCCCCCGTAAGGGGAATTACAAAATACATATGTAAACAAATGAAGTTAACCAAATCCAGATATAGATCCTCTCTCAATGATGATGTCAACTTTGCTTCACATCTCCACCTCAGACCTTCAACCTGACTTTAACATTTCCGTTAAAGCCCAACAGAGACTAAACTTCTCTCACTAAACAAGAAAAAAGAACTGATAAACACCAAATGAGATGTTTAGACTACAAATGTAGGCACGTAAAGAACCGGGACTCGAAATCACAGTTCAGTGACGATCACTATTATATGATGTTTCATAATATTTGGAGTACAAAGACAATATTTGATATATTTACAAAGCTAAGAACTTTTTCCAGCAGTATATAAAACTCAAAATGAGTTTTGGGGTGAATGTGACTGAAAATGATCATCAATATAACGTCACAAATGGTAAAAATGTTAACAGTTTACCATTGTACTGGGAAATTTAATTGAATAAATGACATTTTTTGTAAGGAAACCTCGCTTTTTCGTTGCTTAATCATAACAAATACTCTTACCAGCTTGTTAAAACAGTGCTATGTACTGCGTTTAATAATTAAATACTTTTATTATGCAGTATTGAGTTAAGTTGAAATCAAGTCTCTCTTGTAAATGAGTCCTCGAGGCTCAATGGGATTTACCGTCTAAATAAAGGTTGAATGAAAAAGTAATTTGTGCCAGCCCTCCACAATATTTGTTGTTTCTCATGTGGCCCCATGGAAAAAATAATTGCCCACCCCTGCTCTAGAAATAAAGGTAACTGGAAAAAAAGCACAAGTTACGGCAGGAGTGAGTCCGAAGTTAGAGCTGGGCTAGTTTCTGTTCATTATTCGTATTAACTAGTTTTTAGTTTGGTATTCATTACTTGCATATTTTTAATGTTTTGTCCTTCAGTAAACAGAAATGTTGCATCTGCTTGATGACAACAAGGAGGTAAATATTTGACCTGTTCCTCCCAACCTGCTTGCACACATCACTGGAGCCTCCTGTCTCTAAACGCTGCAGTGTTCGGTTCATCGGTCTCGCTGAAAACGAAACCGGAGCTGCAGTAACTTGATTAATGAGCCTCGGGTTGAAAGTCAGAACCTCTCTGAAGAGGAGGATGGCAACATGAAGAATCTTTTAACGATTGAAGAATCTCTTCAGTCAGAACTTGTGATTTCTTACAGGATGAGATCAAAGAGCTACTTTCAATATATTCTGTTTAAAACACTAAAACTAAAAAACTTTTACTGTAAAAATAACGTAGTCGTTCAGATGTCACAGACTGGCGGGGTGAGTCTGAGCGGCTGCCCTTTAAGACACCAAAGTGATGTTTTTGTTGAAACGTTCAGCCAGTGCTGTGTGAAGAAAAGCTTCAGATGAGGTTTGCTGAAGGTCAGGAGCTCTCACCTTGCCTTTGACGACGACTCTGGCGAATGTAGGCTGAATGTCGACGTCTATCAGGGAGGTGTCCATGTGTCTGTGAGGACGGGGGGAGGGTCAGATTACAACAAATAAAGCTTTAAAACATTTATTACAAACATTTAACATCAGAGAAATGCATTAGCTCCAGATTTTTCAATAATATTCTGAAATCTGCTTCATTGTATTTTTGTTCATTCAAATACTGCTAATGCTAATTCTACTGCATCTAATGCTAACAGCTAAAGTTAATTTTACTACAGCTAAAGCTAACAACTAATGTTAATTCAACTGCAGCTAATGCTAAC